AAAAGATTAATAACTTTATGCTTACATCCCCTAAAATGGGCGCTTTCACTGGAAGACACTTTGACTAAAGCTCCGTATGAGGGCCGGACACGATGGCGGAAGCGAGGCCAGAAAAAGTTTTAGTACCCTTCCTGTATGCCCGAGAGATGCAAAATGTAATTATAAGGAATAAAGATAAAGAGTCGTAGTCATGTAATTTAATGGTTATTGGACTTATTGGCTAAATTAGATCTTGCCGTTCAGGAAATCACTTGGCTGTCGATTATGCCGCAAGGACCTACCTGCGCTCGGTTTAAATGTTATGACTTGAAGACAAAAATTTTCCCGTTCCTCTAGAATCAAAATTTGATATTTCAAAAGTTGCGTTATAATTAAATATAAAAAGAAACGCGGTTTGAAAGTCCAATGCAACATTTTGTGAGATATTTTCTCAGAATATAAAGCGTTGTGGTAACATTGTAACAAGGATATTATGTTTTGACTTTCGGCCAAGAGAGGTCTGAGGAAGTCTGCTGGTGGCATTAGGATATACGTTTGGAGAAAAGATATCTGGTCACATAGTTACACCACTCGAGCGTGTTGTGACTTTTGGAAAGTTCCAATTACAACGCAAGCTAGGTTTTTAAGTTATGTTACTTCCAATGATCTCTTAATCGACCTTGAAAAGTGAAGGAAGACTGATACTCACTCAAATAAGTTCATAGAGTTTCGTAGCCTAGGAAAAGTACCATATGGTTTTGTTATCAGCCAGCTGGGACGAAGCTGAACCAACGATATCATTTTGTATGGGCAATTTAAATAAGTGTTGCTAGAGAAGGTAAGCAGTGTATTATTTTGAAAGAATAACATAATGTTTGGATCAGGGAAAAGAGCTGCTGACGCGTAAGGGAATGGGTCTTACGGAAGTCAATTTACTTTTCACTTAAAATGTCTGCTTCTTTTAGGCACCGTTCGCTGTACCAAGCAAAAAATGTTTCTGCCTCTCCGTATTTGCATTTTAGAAGCTCTGACAACTATACATAAATCTTTTGATTTTACCTTTGACGAACGTGCCGCGTCTTATGGACCCGTGCCATATCCCACGCACGTCTTTTCGACGCAAGCTTGAAATTTGTCGTGTGCGCGTCACTGATCACACGTCATGCATGTGTGCGATATGTCATACTGCTCAAAACAGAGCTAAAAAAACAAATGCTTTTGCAATATTTTATTCCCTATTTTTCTGTTAACAGCCATATATTTGTATCACTATGCAGTCAAAGTTCATAATTTCATTGCAGGACAGATTACCCACAATGGGTGTCCAAGTGTTATTTCATTCACCAGTTTTCCTCTACCTGTTGGTACTGTTTCATTCAGTGATCACTCAGTACAACAGTGATACACGCGAAGTCTCCATCTTTGGGATGATGCTGCAGGAACACATCTTTAAAACAATCACTGGAGCAGCATTCGGTGATGTGTGTTTGCTGGAGTGTTATGGTGATGTCAGATGCCAAAGCTTTAACTATGTATTTACCCAAGACAAGTGTGAGCTGAGTAACCGCGCGAAGGAAGCCAGGCCTGAAGATTTTGTACCCAACTCTGAGAGATATTACTTCAGGCGAGATATAAAGAGAGGTGAGCGTTTAGGCACTTTTATTCGGCTAACTGTCCTATAAGGGAAAAACATCATGTTTTTTTTTCCTTCCCTATTTTCTAGCTCATCTCGGTGCTATTCCAGAGCTGCCTGCAGACTCATGTAAGGAAATTAAGTCGAGTGAAGGTGGACAAGCGGTCAGCGGTAAATACTGGTTGAATTTCATCAAACCTGACACTCCTGTCTTGGCTCACTGTGACATGAAGACTGAAGGTAGAGTAGAACAGTTAAACAAAACGGATATGCATTAAAAAAGATTCTTCCTCTGGAAAAGACTATTACTTTCTTAAAGTGCCACTAACTCCCAAAATTGTTTTCGATAAAATAGATCTCTTTGTCCTTTTGATAGCTAAGTCGCGAACATAATGTCGCATCTATTTCTTCGCAGTTGTGGTTGTTTTTCTTTGACAGAGACTAACTTAATTGACAAGTGCTTCATGAATAATGTATAATTTCGCTTTAAACGATGTGGATAATCATTGACAGATACTGACGAATGTAACGCCTCCATTGGCGTTTGTGATGTGAGCGCTGACTGCAGAAACACTCTGGGATCGTATCGCTGCTCTTGCAGAACCGGCTTTTCTGGAGATGGACATACTTGCAAAGGTAGGAAGAAATTTTATCAGAAAACGTACAGTTCTCAAGAAGCAATGCCGTTGTTAATTAGATGCTATTTCTCTGGACTTTTGTCGCCTATTACTTCATAAGGAACATGATTTGAAACTGTCAAGCGTTAGCAATTTCTTTTTTTAAATGCAAAATTTTGGCGCAAATATTTTGAAATTTTCGCATTGTTTTCTTTCGATTTGGAATTCTCGATTTTTATCTTACTACCAAAAGTTTATTATGCATATCACCGATAAATGTGTAGAGCTCTCAGTTCATTGTTCAATTAAAGGTAATAAAATTCTGGAAAAAAACTACATTAAAGGTCGCAGGATTTGTCGAGAAGGGAGGAAAAGTGATTTGGCTTCCCTTGTGGGAAGGATGGGTGTTCGTTGAATGGTCCTAATGGGAGACTAAGAAAAAAAGAAAAACTGCCAATGTTTTAATTTTCACAGATATTGACGAATGCAGTGCTTTCCCATCATTTTGTCAAATCAATGCCGACTGCCAAAACACCCTGGGCTCTTATCGCTGTTCCTGCAAACCCGGATTTCTTGGCGATGGACCAACTTGTTACCGTAAGGACATTTGGGTTTTTTAAGGGCAGACAAATTGACTAGCTGACTAAATTGTTTTTTAATCATTTGAAATCCAATTTCCAATTTTTTGGGGACATTTTAATCTAAAACCTCACAGATAGCATGTTCATAGCAAACATCAGGCGTTCTATCTTTTTTGGTTTTTTATTCTAGGTTTTTCAAATTTCAAAACCGATGGGAGAAGAGGACGTTTTGGAATTATACAGAAGTTTACCGCTCCTCGGACTTCCCGCTATCTCATCAAAGCCTGGGGTGCTCGGGGCGGAACACATTCCTACGACTACGGCTACAACCCAGGAACATATTTTGGGGGAAAGGGGGCCTTTAGAGAGGGAAAGTTCAGGTTAAATAATGGAACTGTGCTGAATATTGTGATTGGACAAAGAGGAGGAGATTCGGTGGAAGTGAAAGGGGGAAATAGCACCAATAAGACAGCAGCTCAACTAGGAGTGTCCGTCGAAGACAATGCTGGCACCGGAGGAGGGGGAGGAAGCTTTGTTTATACTACAGCTGATGTTTTGTTGCTCGTTGCTGGAGGAGGAGGGGGTGCGTCTAGTGGATATAATGGTGTGGATGGTCAGGTGGGTTCAAGTGGCACCAGCAGTGTGGGAAAAGAATCATCACAAGTTCGAAATGGAGGTACTGGTGGGCAGCCTGGTGAATGTAACACTGCTGGGGGTAACTACCATGGAGGAGTGGGTGCGGGTTGGCTTGGTCAAGGCTGTACACGATTAGGCTCCTCCCATGGGGAAAGAGGGGGATCACGTGCTCAAGGCTGGATTGGAGGTCAAGCTGGAGGTATGAACAGTGGAAACAACGGCGGACCAGCACCAGGAGCAGTTGGAGGATTTGGTGGTGGTGGAGGGGGATCAGAAGATAATGGTGCATCAGGTGGAGGTGGAGGGTACTCTGGGGGAGGCAGCGGTATATCTTCGAAACAAGCCGGAGGAGGGGGAGGCTCGTATTGCAGTGGCGAGGATTGTTCCGGCTTGATTGGTGGAAACTCCAATGAAGATGGCCTTGTTCAAATTTTTGAATGGCTGGGCTGATTAAAAAACGTTATCTAAAACTGAAAATTTGTTTTTAAGGGCCTATCCGCACTAGCAAACAAAACTAGAAAAGTTCCCACAAAATCAAAGGCCAAATTTTATCTTGACAAATTTTTGTCTCCTCTGTTGCATCCGCTCTAAAAGTGCCGAAGCTGTTAAGTCAGCCAAAAATAACACCGATACTATATTTCACTGCAATTTTATTCAATTTAGTTTTTCTTTCCTCTTTGCTTTGAGTGGGCACTTCTGGATCTTGGGCCATATCTACTGCTTCATTGTTGGACTGATAAAGTGGCCACTGGAAAATCACTCCATGGTTGTATCTTGCCCCGGTTGCAGCCAGCCCCTGATCTGCCCATGACACTGGCCGCTATCATTTTCCTGTGGATTCAAACTCCAATTACCAGGATTCATCTGAAGTTGTTTGAAGTTGTAAAATCTGCGAGTTTGGCAACGAAAGATAATTACTGCAATCTTTTGGTAAACTAAATTCAGTTCAATTACCACACTGATGGTGGCGTTTACGACAAATGGTCGACAAGTTTATGACGGTTTTGTTTATTTACTCGATTTTGCCAAGGTTTTACTCGTGACAAATTTTGTCGGCGGTGCTTTTGAAAATTTATCCGCTTTGGCCAAAATTTGTCGAGTCGCGACAAACCATCCGCACGTTGTAAAGTGTTTGTGATGACAGAAAATTTGTCTAAATAAACAGTTTTGTCGCTAGTGCGGATAGAGCCTGTAAGATCTTAGCGTGCGGAATGTATTCAATCATTAATTAGGGTGTCTCTTATGTGTTGTTGCTGTTTCTTGTCGTCTGTTAGCTAGTGTTTTTTCACCGGTTTCTCCCTCCCTGGAGCGAGGGAAGAGATACCCTGGTTTAGACTGGTCACGTCTCTCTGAGATTTTAGGAAATTAAAACTTAGCGGCCTGAGGGAGGGGCAGATAAGTGGAAAAATCTCTCCACTTACTCCACTGGCGAGCGTAGTTTGTCGGCAATCAAATCAAACTACACGTGAAGCGCTTCGAACCGAATGATGTCAATTGAGAATATTCAGCAGACGTTCAGAAAGATCAGTGCATAAATACTCTTCGCTCGATGAGTATTTACGCAAAAGGACATCGCGCATTGCCAAGGACATCTACGCGCATGCGATTACGCGTACTTGTTCGCTTTCCCTATTTTACATAATCTGACGTGTCAGTATTCATTTTAATCACATATAAACCTACGGCTGCCGGTGCTCCTTCTTATTTGATATTTAATATGGGCGTTCAAAGGCGAAACAACGATAACAACTGGACGAAATGACAAGGAAGGTACAGGTCGTTGACTGGTTAACTTCTCGAAGAAGAGTGAAGGTGAAAAACCAACGATTTACCGTATCCCGTTGGTAAAACGGCCACAACGTATCTGCCCGAATATATCGCTTCTAAACACTGGACTTGTTTGGGTTTTAAATTAAGTTTAAAATACCTACTTCGAGATATAGCGACTTGAAGGCTGCTACAGAACATGGCGACCTGCACAACGATAGCGTCGATTTGAAGATGACAAAGGAAATGAGGCAAATATCGGGCAAACAAACGACTCGTCCCTAAGGAATATTTTGCTCTGTGAACACGTGAGCAGCCCAAACCAGGGTCTCCCTTCTCTCGCTCTAAGGGGCAGGAAGATGAGAGTCTCTGGGAACGAGGTTGAACTGCATCAAATATCGTTTGATTCTACTAACTGGGCGATTAAGCGTTAGTTGGCACTGAAAAGAAATTTATGAAAACCACCTGCGTCATCTAGTATGTTTAATGAGCAAACAAAGACAATGGATAGGAAAATGGAGAAAAGCCTTGAAGTTAAAGCCTGAATTAACTGTCATGGCTCGGAGTTGTGAGGGAGATTTATGATTCTAAGTAACACATTAAACGAAATATACTGATATGAAACTAAGACTACAATTACTAACTGCAAGCTCACTTGACTCTTAGAGTTCTACATCAAACGACGGTCGATTGGCAACTGGTCTAGAGGTACCTTAGGCACCTCTCCTCTTATAGCGCGCCCTCGTGTTTAAGGGGGGCATTTTTCAAACCGAAATATTCGAATGACTAAAACCGTAAAAGTCCGCTCCTTCGGAGACCAGATTAAGTAACAAATGAATTCAACTGTAACAAACATCATTGTGCGGCCTCTTAAACGAAAAAGTTCAATCTATCACTTCCTGTTTCCATAAGGGGATACAAGCGGCTATCAGAGCTCCCAGAAAGATCATCATTCCGTGCAGGAGTAGTAGCACTACTCCTTGTCACTTCACGCTGTGAACACTAAGATCGGCCCTGGTGGTGTTGACCTGTATACACACTTAACCTTATCATACTCTTAAAAGAACATCACGCGTCATACTCTGTTAGACATAATAACATCAACTTACTAGTTCTGGATTACTCCTCAGGTACTGGACCAAGGTTTGTCTTAATCTACCAGGCGGGATTTTGATTCCTTTAACAATTTCCAGTTGTTCTGGCAAGGCATAGAACGTGCAATTTCCTGATCCTTGATTGTTAGATATTCTGAAGCCCTTGTCTGATGAAATTTCCCTTAGCCCCAATGATAGATCTGTTCTGTTTCTGACTTTGCTTGCATCGCGTTGCATCTGCTGAAGTTCCTGGATGATTCGGTCAAGAAAACCTTGTACAGACAAAGTTCTTATAAATCTAACTGCATTAAAGAAGCGAAACAATCGTCATCTGAAAAATATATATCTATATATATTTTATTTATATTTTTTATTTCCTCTACCGTATGAATATAACTTTACTTTAAAATTGTGTCGAAAGACAAATGTATTGGGAGTAGTTCCTAAACAAGATTTGATAGGAATGGCATTTAAACTTCTGCTTCGTTTTGAGAAAGAGGAAAAAAACCCCCCTTAGTCTCTCTGTTTCAGACAATTTATGTTTGTTTCCGGGTAAAATAAGATAAAACCTTAATTTACGAAAAAGAAATAAATAACACTACGCCAACTATCTAGGTACCACTTCCAAAAAGGGTAGCTGGCCTAAAGTTGAGAGTTCAGGAAAGGAGAAATGTTTGGTCTCCTTGTAACCTGTCTTTAATTCTTTGGGGATGTCAATTACCGTGTTTTAATAACATTTGATACTCACTTGGAGTCAGTAATGAATCATTTCTTGCTTGTTCAGTTGACGCGTCAACATCTTCGACCTCCCGAGTTCTGAAACTTGCCTCTCGTCCTTTAGAAGCTACAGAGAGAAAAAGAGAAACACATCACTACTCAGGTTTAACACCTTTTTTTATGAGTTGCTCACCCTTTCCATCAAAAATAATTATCAAGAGCCGTAAGCCGAGTGGCCCCCCAAAAATACTAAGTATATTCAAAATATTCTCAACGTTAATTTAAGTCCCACATCTTCTCCACAAGAATGTCACACTTTCTCCCAGCTGAACTTCTCTTCATAGGAAGTCTTCAGCTGTTCATTCTCATGAAGTCGGTCTGAACTTTCCTTCTCTTGGACAGGAGCAATGGCCTTTGCCCACTCTTTGGGGTCCTCAGACTCCACCACAAATGATTTGCCTGATGGTACAGTGCTGAATGCCTCACCAAATCCTGAGTTACCGCTGACAAGAATGGGAAGACCGGCAGACAAAGCTTCTACTGCTGCCAAACCAAAACCTTCTGTTCTGGAAGGCATCATGCAGAGATCAACTTCTCAAAATAATTTTTCAATCTCTCTTTGCTCGGTACGAACTTCCTCACAGTCAGCTGGCTTTTATCAATTCCACTCTTGAGCAGATTTGCTGCAACCTCATCCTGTTTACCGTCAGGTGCACCCACGAAAATCAAATGGCAAGATCTGTCTCTCAGTTCAACTATTGCTCTGGCACAGATATCGTAGCCCTTCAGGCTGAAGTCCTCTGGATCACCCCGGCCAAACGTTATAACCTTAAACTTTTCCATGTCAATTACTGCTTGTTTTACGTCGGAAAACTCACTGAATGTGCTTGGCGTCAGTTGAATTATATTTTGGTGCTTCTCACATGAGCACAGGTAGGAAGAGTAAGCCTTCGTCAACTTTGGTCCAACTGCTACCACAGCATCTGTCAACTCACACAACTCCACTTCAGTTGTATTCTTCTCTTCACCTTTACAAATGGCCATAGCATAGTTTTTGTGCATTCCAAGTTACTCAGGTGCAGTATGCACCACCTGTATCCACCTGCACTGATGTGATTCTCTAATAAATTGGGCTTGTTTACCAAGCTTTGCTCCATGACCCAGCACTATGCCAATGGCTAGATCTCTAGGTGGGGCACTCAGCCAGTCAAGGGGGTCGGTATAGCCCAGAAGTCTATGTGCCTCTCTCAAGGATACATTGTGTCTCGATGCCATTCTCCTCTCTTCTTCAGAACAGGCAAACTGCGGGACAAGGAGGGTGACGTCTACTTGAGAATGTTTGGCCAACAGAATGGCAAGCTGTCTATTTATGGTGGACAAGCCTCCCATTGATGAACTGCATTCACTGGCCAGGAGAGTCACCTTCAGTGCCATGTCAGACTTCATTAGATTAACTCCAGCTGCTGCACCCTGTGATTTGGCAGTGACATTTGAACACCTCGACCCCTAGGCAAAAAAAAGGCAGAGGTCATATAGGTTCTATCACTTGGTAATAAATATACACCATCATAAATTTTGAGTATGCTCCAACCCATTTATAATGATAAATTCATGACCCTTAAACTCCCACGAGTGACCAAGGCTGAATTTCTTCTTGCATTATCAATACAATATCAAGCAGACAGCTAATGAGACTTAAGAAAAATATCAATTAGGGGATTTTAGGTTGATTCAAAACAAAATTCTCCAAACCAACATCATAAGAACTGTGTGGCACACCGTAAGGAGAATCGCTAATGAGATCGCGGGAGCGAAAGGGTTATTATTGTATGACCGAGAAGTATAACCTATAAAAATAATTTCATCTTGAAAACAAATGTTCGACTTATCGTTAAAAATGGAGGCACACTATGATAACATTCTGCACACTTACTAACAATACCTTGGATTCTCAAATGAAGAGAATTACGCGATAGAAAATAAGAATCAGAGAAAGACAAAAAAACAACACATCATTGCCCTCATTTGCATGACAATATGGACAGGCAACACACAGCCCATACTCCAGTTGCCTCAGGTAGGTGAGTTCCTAAGGCAAAGCCTGTAGAGTTTCAAAAAATTCACGAACGACAGTTGCTAGTTCAGCTGTGTTCTGCCACACAACCTGATGACTTTGTTTCTTTTGTTGCAAGATTATCTTGCAACTGTGCTCCATTTTGATACAGAGTAGGTTGATGCATACACGGCCACGTTTCAGCACACTAACGAATGGATCGTGAGACAAGCTGTAAGAACAGACCATGTTGGACAAAAGACATGCACGAAGAGGAGATACACTGGACCTGGATCAGTTGATGATGGCTTCAATTTCAAGAGTTTGTCAGGTGATGACTTCAACTGAGCCGGTACAAAGTACTTTGAATTATTTGGAGAAACAGAGAACTTAGCAATTAAACCAAATCACTCCATCATGCTTAGGATATCTTCTTTGACGATTCCTTGGTCAATAAAACGGGAGAAAACGTGATCAAGATGTTCCACACTCAAGATGCCACTTCCTTCAAGTTCCTGCCAGTACTTGGCATACAGAGGATCCTAAAAATTGGAGATAACAACAGTTCTAAGTAAGGGAACATTGCTGAAAGTTCACTTTGAAATACAGAATCACTGAAAGCAAGGTAACTCAAATAAATGAACACTATTCGAAATTGTTTAGTTGTGTTAATTGTTTATATCTAGCAATGAATTTAAATGTTATAAACATGAACAAGTAGAGGTGTGTTACTGGTAAATGTGCCATCAATCAACACTTCATACTTTTGCATCACAAACCTTTTGATCTTACACAAGGTTAAGACTTTGAAATTACAACATAGCATTTTAAGTCAAAATTGTTTGTAAAATTAACCTCCCTGAAACTAAAGGGGGCTGTAAACAAGGTCATAATTAAAATATTTCCGTTTCACCTGGCCAATATTTCAAAATAAAAAGTACAAATAATATGAAAAAGCTGACAGATCAAAATATCATTGAGCTTGTATTCAGATATTATCTTGAAACAAGGAAATCAGTCACGGTTTCTTTCAAATTACTCAAGTTAGCCAAGTTCTTTCTTATCATATGGCTATTAAAAATAACACATTTTGTCACCACTTTATCAAAATGTGGAAGGGTTATCAGCTGCTTGAAGAGTTCAATCAACCACTGAGCCTTCAGTACAACTGTAATGCAGTGCTTGGGGACTGGGAATTAGTGTATCATGTCATTTCTATTTTTAAACAGAAAAGTTTTGAGTCAAATGCAAACTTTTTTATTAGTAGAATTTATGAGTTTACATAATTTAGAGATAGCTTTGTATAAAGTAGCTAGGTCATATCTTCTGATTAAGGTTAGACATCAAAGCAGGTGAATTGTAACAGGATCCACCATCTTTGTTTGCTTGTAGTGCAGATTTTCATGATGAAAATACAATCAGCATGTATTCAAAGTGTTTGATGACAATTATTTCAAAGAACAATAAGAAATGACTTGTCTCCCCATGGCTATCCTTTTTTATGGCTGGCTACTTGAAATGATCTGAAGAACACTGGGTACATTCTCTTAAAAAACATAAATTTTAGTCTTCATGATCAGGAGTAGTGTTATCAGACTTGCCTGTTTTTGATGAGAACTATTTATTTGCAATTTTTATTTTTAAGATAATGATATTTATACGCCTTATTCATAAATGGCGGACGCGTGGTTAAGACCTGAGCCGAGTTCACCAAAACGAGGCTAAGGA